GAATGACTTCTAACCTTTTCAAGCCCTGCGAACGAGAGAAGCTAGCGTGCGATCATACAAGCTTTATGTGCGCCCATTATGGAGTCTGGGACCGTGGTATTCAATCCATATACGAAAAAGGATATTCACGCACTTGAAAGTGTGCAGAATAACTTTACGCAGGAAAGGTCAACAGGTCAGCCTGGCCATATGCAATGAGGTGCACATCATTGTACTCGCCTTGAGACGGTGAACTCAAAAGTATCTTCAAAATTTGCGGAACGATTCTCTGAGCGGAGTTATGGAGGTTTCTTTACTGTTTTTCTTCTTCCGGGCGCGCTGGCGCCGAAGCGTTGGCACATGTAGCGCGACTCACAGCGCTCTTCGCGCAAAACAGGTATCATATTCGTGTTCAGGGGGTCAAATAACCCCTAGAGACGGCACCTTAGCGAAATCTGAGGTTCTGACTCAGCTTCGAAAAAATTGGGGTAAGGTTAGTCATGGCTGACTCAACGATACTGCGACTAGCATACTGATGATGACTGGTCTTCGAGCTGAAATAACTCTTCAATCCTGTATTTTCGCAAAGAACAATACCTGGCTCACTTATTCGTGCCGTCTGCATCATTTTCCTGATTACCGGTAGAAATTCCATCCCAAGACCAGTCATCCATGGTGGGTGGACCCCAGCCTGCTGCTAATTGTCCATAGAATGGCCCACATTTTCCAAGTTAGGTCGAAACGTCAGATTTGGCTAGAAACTTGTCCCCAGGGGCAAATTGACCCGCTGAACATGGATATCATGGTATTTCGTTGCAAAAACCCTTGTAACATGTGTTACGAGGGGGACAAGCACAAGCACTCTTTCAGCCATAATGGGTCTACACTTTCAAACAAAAACTGATCGCAGGTCCCCTTACAGGATGGTGCAGGCGAGCAGAGATGTTAGAAGCCTCGTCTGCCATATTCTTGGACAAATGCAAAAATGTGCTACCCCCGGGACTTGATCCCACGACGTCTCGCCTAGGAAACCCACTCGCTATCCGTTGCGCTCTACTACCACGTTTCAGAAGGACTCCATACATTTATGTAAAGACGCTTCCACGTTTGCTCGCGATAGCATGTAAAACAACTATGCGGGGATAAACCCCTCCATAACTCCGCTCAGAGAATCGTTCCGCAAATTCTGAAGACAGATTTGAGTTCACCGTCTCAAGACGCGTACAACGGTGTGCACCTCATTGGAAATGGCCAGGCTGACCTGATGACCTTTCCTGGTTAGATGGGAAGGAGTGAACTACTTGGGGATACCTAGCGGAACCGTTCGGAATAGCACTTATGGTTTAAAATCACTGGAGTGGAGAAGAAGTAGAAATGATTTGCTAATGGTCTTCAAATACTGAAAAACTTAGTCAAAATGAAAGCCGATGACTTTTTTCGCGTGCTGCCATCTAACTCAAGAGGGCATCCATTAGACTCTCATCTATATATGCAAGGACTCACCTTAGGTCGAAGTTTTTCGGTAACAGAGTATGCTCAAGGTTCAATTCCCTTTTGCAATGTTTTACAGTTGAAGTATCATTCTTTTTAACGACATGTAGGAGATTTTGTACAGAACAAAACTTAGCTATAAATTGCTATACAGGATTTGTTTAAAAAGAAGTTGTGTTCAGAGGTATACTGGTTTTTATTTTACTTGTTGATCTGTGCTCTGCTCGGCGTCAACCGAATAATAAATAAATAAAAACCTTCGAGTTCGGCATATAGGCTATGAGGCGCAGTCTGTCGACGGGGGGGGGGCATTCGGCTTTTCATAGATGTGCCGACCCATCTAGGTAGCCTTTTCTCGAGTTGACACGTTTTAGGATGGTGGCTAGACGATCTTACTCCAGCTTCACAGGCGTTCACGTACAGTTTTATTACCTATGGCGGAGATTCGTAAACCGGAAACAAGGGAAGGCCTGTTAGGTACAAAATGCTCCATCGCTTACACCGCTAGGCCTATGAAACATATGCCGTCAACGCTTTTCACAGCGCTGAGATCTGATCCACGAAGAGAGGCACTGGTTCAGAACTTTTCAATGAACTCTTTCAATATCAGCCCATTCAGTGATAAAAACCAGCTCGCGCTTCTCATTGAACTTAATTGCTCCCAGCTTCAAATGTTGAGTCCGTTTTTACCTCCGCTTCTCGTCCACTTCTTCAAGTTGGCAAGGATTAATTAGCTCTTTGAGCACAACAGGCTATCCGTATTGCTCAAAATGTAATATTAGGGAATATGAAGAGGTCAGGTCCTTGGTGACAGCCTTTCTTCCCCGATATTTAAAAGATTCAAGAAAGACGAAGTGGAAGGTATGATCTTCAGCTCCCACATCCTTCGCTGCTGAATTATGTGCGAAATGCTCTTCTTTAGTTGGAACTCAGTTCGTCATCCAACCACATCCGCCAGAATTATCATCGGGCCCGTTGACTCAAGCCCAGAATGAGTAATTCTGCCTCCAACTCAGGAACTTCGTGATACCTTTCGCATCGCAGTTGCGGCGGAAAACGACAACTATCCAAAAAACCTTGCGATCGAGATTAATCAACCGTATTCTATCACAGAGTCGTTCAAAATCCTCCGCGATTAATCAAGTGACTGCGAACACCGCGCAATCCGAGCCTTTCTCAGATACAAAATTGGTTCATCATGCTCGTGAAGCACCGTACCTCTGTCTGTGTGGGGCTTTGGGTCACAGCGTGTTGGGGAGTCTCCTTTTTTCTCGCTTTGGAGTGCACGGGACTGAGCGGAGGGCACGACTACTAGAGGTGCCCGCCTTCATACTCTGCCCGCGGGTGCTTGGCAGCAAGTCTGACGCTCAACCATAGCCGAAAGAGCTACTGTCTGCGCCCTTTGTCACTATATGGTAGTACTCTAGGCAACGCAAGAGCTGCCCCTCGAGGATGACGTGGATAAGGTATGGAGCCGGCACATCGTTACCACTACCCTACCGCCCATTCCCGTGTCACTTCGGCAGGAGAAGTGCGAACGCTTCTCCAACTACGAATCATTCACTTCACACACGGGGGAGCCAGTCCTCTTGAGGTGATTCATAGTGCTCTTTTCTAAACTTCAGCAAATAAAACTTTCCAGAATTTATAAAGGCACCGCGTCTAAATATAAGCATCGCAAAGAAAAGCTAAAGGATCTTCACGTGTTCCTACGGAAACTGAATGCCCCACTCGGAACTTGCCACTCCTCCAGTTTGGTATGACCCACACACTCGAGGATCACCTATGTAATCCTGAATGTGTGACCGACTCACGCAATCTACAAAAGGATGAAAGGACACAATTTTAACGTTGATCATCTCTTTTAGGAGTGCGACACGCACTCTTCTTCAACTCAGAAATTGTAGTAATTTTTTAGCGCGATATGGTCTACACAATGACTTCTGGACCAGCTGATGTCAAGTTAGTCTTATTATCCTGTCAGGAGATCTATTCACCTACCCCACAGGGATGGGAGGCTTCGTTGGCTCCCATCCTGTGGGGGCCGACCGCAGTGTAACAATCCACGTGACGAAATAATAGTGCAAAGTCAGCGGGCACCTTTTCCCTTTTCGTAGGCACTCCGCGCTGATACGTGTGACAGAAAAGTTCAATGCCGAGTAGTGCTATTAACACATTCCGGACCGCATGACACACATGGTGTGTCAACCCTTACCCGTGCTCCCTGTGGCCGCGTTGATCAAAACCTGGTGTGTCACGATCATCCTAATGATTTGACCGTGCAGCAAACGGACCCGCTCATTTTTTACATCATCCCTGTAAGGGTCCCCTGTATTCCTATATATGGTTAGGGCATGAAAAGCTCCGATAGTTTATTTGTAAAACATTTTGTTCAAGTGTAACCAATCCATAAAATCATCATGCTCTAGAAATGCATCGCACATAGAAAAAGTTGCTGACAGACTGAACTGCTGAGACCATTCGGTGTCCCGATTATGATTGGCACACTCCCAATAGCGTTCGGTCCATTTGGCGTCAGCGGCGCCAATTTTGCGCCGCGGCCTTTTTTACCATATCCAATTAAGGAAACATGCTTTTGAGGGATTATCAAGGATTCTGATCGCAAAATTGACAATCGTTCTTGAAGCCGGCGCCATTTTGGCGCGTTTGGCATCAGTTTAGCGTTATTACATCTTTCACTGAAATCGATATCAATATGCATTTGGAGGTGAGCGAGGTCCTTTCACATTTCACATATCAATGAAAAAAACCAAGTGAGAACTTATGTGATTTTGCGAAAGCGATGCAAACATGGCGCTCGGTGGCCAAATGGCGTCGGCGATAGTTGCGTCGTTCGAACTTGTTAAAAGGTCAAAAAGCCACATAGAGTGAAACACTCGTTAACATGCGGTCGCTTCTGCACATGTGCACAATCGTGTACGTGCACGCTTTGTGTGATGAAAAGGGGTCTGAACCTGACAACCTTGGTATATCACTGGACGTGTCGGCAAGACGCTGTAAGTTTATACAACTCTCAAGATAAACGCTGACGCGACTGGCTTTCTGATTGAAAGTCCGGAACTTCCAAGGATATCCTAGAATGTTGCTGGAAACCGCACAGAAACTGATCGAAATCGTCATAAAAAGGAGTTGCTGAGATGCTGCCCCTCAAGCCATTCCCCCTCATCCAAAGGCTGTCAGCGACGAGATGGACTTTTTCGGTAAAAAAGGCGTACGATTCAAAATACCACAAAAAAAAACAGAAAAGCACATTCCACTCTGGTCGAGTCCCAGTCCTCCGGCCTTTAGCATGCTCTCCCACATTGTCATTATTGAAGAAGGCTCACAATGGGAGTGGGCCATGTGGCTCCGCCCACACAGTCAACATGGAATGTCCCTTAAACCCTTAAATTGCTTACCTTATCATTTCCTGACATGCATCGATAACATATGTGGAAATCCAGTCATAGTATGTCAGACCTTGGAGTCCAGCGACAGCACTAGCCAAGTGAAGGAGATTCGCGTACGGTAACAACCATGGCGAGGTAAGGTACTTGAGACACCAACCTGTAACCTATACTTTCAGTGTATAGATAAAACTGAACGCACTGTCAAAGGCAGTTCATTGCAAACAGCACGCCGTGCTGTGCTGAATTCACTGGCTATAGGGCGCGCTCGAGACTTCGCGATGACGCCGGTGCGACGCACGTCAGCGCGTGTCAAAGCGAAGTCTGAACGCTGCTAGGTGAGTAAGAAAGTGAGTTTGATGCCCTCTGGGAATTCTTATAACCAAAACTTGTCACAAAGAGGCGTTACATTGATTGGATAAAGGCACCCTTTTCATGAGTGGGCTCAATCTTTCAACTATGAAAAGGAAGAGCGCACTAATGGTAAGGTCCAGCGGTCAAAGTGACTTCACCCATCGCCAAATGTGTATTCAACAAAAGGCGATGCTTCTAAACAACGCATGCAGTCAACTGTGCTACGTTTACCATCAGCACCAGGAAGAGGAAAAAAGGCAAGCACATGCGCGCGCGATCGGTCGCTTCGCGAATCTCCCATGAGCACACCTACAACTCAATACTCTTTGGTTTGTCCCCACGACTTTTCAATTACTCACATGAAGTCCGTCAACCTACCATGGAACTTCGAATGGAGACCCGGATAGATCGATAGAGTCCATAAGGTTATTTACAAATATATAATAGATAGCAAAACTGCAACCTTCATTTTCACAAGCAACTTATGAGCAGGTAAAGTTTGTAGTGGTGCAGGTAGGGTGGAGGCATGGTGGTGAGCTGTGAAGCATAAGCGAGGAATCGCATACGTTGAATCGAGTCGTGGTGGTTCAGCGGTAAGTTTTCTTTGACGACTCGATTCGACGTATGCGATTCCTCGCTTATGCTTCACAGCTCACCACCAAGCCTCACCCTACCATTACAAACTTTACCTGCTCATAAGTTGCTTGTGAAATGCAGGTTGCAGTTTTGCTATCTATATTTGTAAATAACCTTATAGACTCTATCGATCTACCCAGGCCATTCAAAGTTCCATGGTAAGTTGGCGGACTTCCCTGGTCAGCTCCCTGCATAACCCCACTGACAACCTGGTATTGCATGACATCGAGAAATTATAGAGTACACTTGATATAGCCGTATTCATTCGAGGAAGTGTCAAGAGGGGATGGGATCAGCTCGTCTCCGGCTGCCTTTCCCCGACGATACTGATCGGTTGTGATCGATTTAGGAGAACCACCAGTAATGAAAATTTTGAGGATGGGTTCGTTCCAACTCTCTTGACACAGCCCCGACTGACTTTGACGATACCAGCCATATGTGCGCAGCAACTCGATTTCATTGCGAAATCACTAGCCCTACCCTCACTATGGATGCAACACCAGCAAAGTATTGTACATCCTCACCAGCTACGGTTTCATCGTCCCAAGCCAATCTTCTTATGCATTTGATATTCGTGTTCACATTATGCTCGTTAATATCAACGATAAGATGCCGGATGAATATCATCAATGGCGGTTCGGCTTGAGCACGTCTTGCTGCTGCTGAATCAGCTGGTGGAATACAGGCGAAGAAAGCATTATCAATCAGCATCTGAACAGAAAATTAGGTAAGTGAGGTTACAAAAGACATCAGTTCACTTAGTAGTAGGCAGCGTTGTTAGAGACAGGGCACTTCGTACGCTGAGGAATCCCCCGCGGGACAAATTTGGTTGCTGGAGAGAGGGAGGCCTGGATTTTCTTTTTACTTGACCCTTTGTGTTACGTTCCCACAACACTGGTAGGTCCCTGTTAGGGGAAGAGGCGCCATCGTATCGTGAGAGCGCCTTCAGACTTGGCGATTCGAACGCTCGAGCGATTGGGGATGCGCGATCCATACAACTGAATGCGGGCGCAGCTGCTGAAGCACTGTCAAGATAAAATTAGAAAAAAGAGGTAGGAAGTTCCTTAGGACCTGAAGCTAAGCGAAAGGACGTGCCTCCGTGGAAGAGGAAGGGAGATAGCTTTCAAGGGGTTGCTTGAATCGCTCCTAAGGACACATCGCGGCGTTGTGGGGACGTCCCCAAAGTACCCCTGTACATCTTTGTCTTCAACACGACCCGCACTAAACACCTATGGGAAAACTACTGTGTCAGGGAGGGAGGTGCCTTATCGCTCGTTGCCTCTGTTGTTGGCAGGTTGGCTTGGTAGGGGCACCAAAAGGTACTCAGCGAAGCTTCTCCTGCTCGCCTTATCAAAATCTGTGAGCTCGCACTACCAAAGCCAGGCAGCTCACCTGCACCATTTCGCAGCTTCACAAGAGGTCACAAGACCTGACAAATCTACGCGGTCTTGTTAATTCTAGCGACAGCGCGAAATCCCCTCCTAAGCCGAATAGCGTCAGACAATCCAGAGGTTCAATGACGAAAAGTATATTTTCAAAGCAGTTTTTAACCTTGACATGAAACATCTGGCTCCATGCCGGGTAGCCCAGCCCATGCGGATGGCTCTCGCTCGGAAAACAGAGACTGCAGGAGCTGCCTGTGGAAGCACACAGACAGGATCAAGGAGGACTTAGTGAGGTTTGACCTACTGAGCGAACTTTGTCTTGAAATTTATTTCTTTCCCCCGTACAGAGTAACCTAGCAAGCGGATTTCATCAGGAATAATAAAAACTTCAGAGGAAACTTCTGCCACTCACCACATGACGAACGTCTTTGATTCGTTCCTTCTTCTTTTGCACTACGTCAAGGATGATTTTCATCTTTGGATGACTATCACTATTTCTGAAACCATGCGAATAAAGAAAGGAAATGGACGCAGTTTGACGACGGGGAGGCGCATTTTGTACTATCATTGCTTCCCTAGTTCCGGTTTACAAGTCTCACTCTGGCGAAACCTGTGAACTCTTGTGAAGCTGGAGCAAGCTCATCTAGCCGTCAGCCATCAGCCTCCGGCAAAACCTGTCAACTCGAGAAGAGGCTGCCTATATAGGTTGACACGTTGATGAGAAGTAGCGAACGTGCAAAATGCCCCCCCCCCCTCGTCGTCAAGCTGCACCAAGGAAACGAATTTTCTCGGTGTAATCATTCCAGATCAAGGGTAAGGATCAAGAGTGCTCAGGAAGTGACAGAGGAACTACTGATATGTCTTACCGATAGAGGTAGAAACCAGCCGTTTCAATCATAGCACAAACCATATCCACAGAATGACCACGAAAATCGTAAACTAATTGCCGAAGGCACGATAACGCCTCAGCACGGGGAATAACACCAAATTTTACCTGAAATTTTTACGGGTTCATACAAATAGCTGGAGCTATCTTCAATTCAAAAAGAACCAATAAAGCAGTAGCGTACTAACTTACCAATTCACCTATGAACATCACACATTTAATTTTCTCTTCGACCCTCTCTTGACCACTTCTCTGCACGAACTCCCTAGAAATGAGCGCATGAGTCGAATACATATTATTTTAGAAGACGTTTCTTTTGCGAAACCACAAGAAGATTCAGGAAAATGCGGGATATTGGTATTAAATGTTTGGGCGTGGTCGACTAATAAGCGGAACAAAAAATCTAACGAAGAACCCAGGGCACGCCATCGTTGTGATAATCACAAGGGGGGGGGGTCGTATTTGACCGCGAGGGAGGGGGGGTCGTATTTGGTCCGAGAAAAAATCTTTTAATAGTTGATTTCCCTTGTTTCACAGACGCCAAAGGGGGTTTTCCGGTTGTTGACTTCTTGCGGTTTTGCTCCCTTCACTGATGTTGTATACTCCCGCATCCCCGGCACTGCCGGGGGTGGGGGAGTATGTAGCACCAGTGAAACGGGCAAAATGGCAAGAACTGCAACAGGCGGATTGGCGGCACTGCCAAAGATTTATACAACTACTATTTGCTGTAGTTGTCGACAGCAAAATTTTGGAGGGAAACTAGGAATTTTTCAGGAAAGAACTGGAAAGTGGTAGGAAGTTGGGAAAGTCTAGGGAAAAAGGGGAGGTCGTATTAGGGTATGGATTTAGCGGGGGGGGTCGTATTGCAGGAATTTATCACAACGCGATGGCGTGCCCTGGTCTGAAAAGAGCAACTCAAAAATCAGAAACACAATAAAAGAAAGAGATTCCTTTGAAAGAAACTACACGCTTCCGAGGACGGTTGCCGTGTGCGAGGGGAATGGACCCACAGCGTGCTTCCTCTCTACTCCGTCAGCGCGCACTACCGGCCTTACGGTTACGATTAACCATAGATGAACGCGCTACTTGTCTGCGCCCTCTCACTTTTGGTTGTTCTCTATCGTCAACTGCATGTTTCGCCGCGGGATCTTGGTATCGACGCAGATAATGGTACCCAGGAACGTCTCCGTCTCCGCAAGCACTTTCTTTAAGGTGCGGCTTTTGTGTCGATAGAAAGGTCTCGCAGCTAAACGCAATCAGCGTCAGAGAACAACCGTAAGGGAGAGAGCGCAAACAGGCAGCGCGTCTGGCTACAGCTAAGCGTGCGACTAGTAGTGCGGCAGCGCGGGCTGTGCGCAAAGACATCACCCGGATATCACTACCCTCCAGCACTGTTCCTGCGCTTTTTTGACGGTATTGCAGCTGTGGACCTATTCACCACACCATGGTAATGACCAGGATTCACGGAGGTGAGTGTACAGTCTGCCCTTACCAGGTTCAAGCTTTCCAAACCGTGGGCATAGAAGTTTTGTTTTTGAAGAAATTATATAATTTCGGGCCAACAGGTTGGTCTGGCTGTTTTATACTTTTCTTCTGACTGGCAGGGTTCAGGACCTTCAATGCCAGATGTCGAGTAAACGCCGTCCAATTTATTGCAAGCGCTGATTTAGCAGGAGCTTCGTTTACACTTGGCAAGAGTGCACGTCTCATCGAGGTAATTCAGCAAGAAGTA